CGGGCAGTTAGAAGCATTACAAGAAAAAGGCCTCCATGGCCGCTCTCAGGTTTCTCTCTGATAATAGTTTCGCAGAATTGACATTTCCCTTTCCCACGATTTAAATAATCATGTTAATCTATCTGCCCCTGGTCTATATTGTGTCCAAAGAAAAAATTATGAAATTAGAGATTTCTTTATCCATTGAACCTCAGTATAGTGATCAACGCTGAAGATAAAAATTGTTTTATCGGTAATACAGACGGCTCCAGTATCCTCTAATAATTGTATCTAGATCAAAATATCTAAAAAAAAAATTGTCTCTTACAATTTTTGAACAATTATTGGTCCTATTTTAATATCCTCTTTCCATCCATAAAATAATGAGTAAATTTTGTACGAACTAATAAATTTTTATTATTGTTATATTATTATATGCATATATTAAATTATTATTATTTTATTATATATATTAAAAAATATTAAGTTATTATTATTATATATTAAAAAATGTATGACGCTCTTAGAACATTACAAAAAAAGAATTTGGTAGTAATTAAATTTGAATACAAATGATACACAACAGCTTAAAATCTTTAACATATGATAAAATATAATACACGTATAAAATGAAATTGTGTGTTAAGCATTAGTCCTTTTATAATTATCTAAAATTTAATAATTTTGAAATGTCATTATGCAAGTCGATGTTATAATTGTTCGACGTATAAATTCTTTGAATTTAAATTATTGGTAAATCGCGATATTATTCGTGATACAAAAACAGTTTGTTGGAATATGTCTTAATTCTTGCCTGAGTTGGATTCTTTAGCTTACAATTCGTCTGTTTCTCGTAAAAACCAGATTGTTGGACGTGCCGTGACGTTATATAAAAACCTTTTAAAAAAAAAGAAAAAAATATACTCCAAGTTCATAAAAAAAAATTTTGAATTCTTAAAAAAACCGACATTAAATAAATGTAATTATCCAAGTATTCCATTACGAAAGACACACAAGACGAACCGAAAGTTGCTAAAATTGTCAATTGGATTATATAGTAAAGAAAAAACTTGTCGTGCCCTGGTCGTATTAATTGTACTTCAGTGATAACGTTATTCCAACATATTTGCTTTATAATAATTAAATTATAAATTATAAAACAATATAAGATATAAAAAATAATAGACATATGTACGTAAATATAACTTGCATAATTACATTTATTTCATGTCCGTTTTTTTGATTAAGAAGAATTCAATATATTTTTAGAAACAAATAATTTTACTGAGTGGGAGAGAGTGAGGGGGGGGGAGGGGGGAACGAAAGAGTGATGGCGCGAGAAAAAGCGCAACGTGTTGAAGTGGGGCCCCCCCCTCCGGGGGGGGGGGACGATGGTCCAATTCCGGCGTTCCGCTCGCTGCGTTGAGAACTGAGAATGGCAGAATGAGCTGGAGTCAGTTCAGTCGGTAGCGGCGCGTCCTAGGCGCGAGTCGCTAAGAGTGGGTAGGCATAAGGACGGATCCATAATGACGGAGGCCGCGTCGTCGGTCGTGATGTCGTCTCTCATGCGCGTTCTCGTCGTGTCTTTCGTGTTTTTGTGGCCGGTACTAAGCGAGGAGACTAGCTTGACCGACCGTATGCGGGCGATCAGCGAGGATCTGGACCGACAGCTTAACGAGATAATGGCCTCGCAGGCGCTCAGCTATTCGACGGTGAACACCGTCGGGCTGCCCTACAACGCCACCACCAAGTTCAATCCGAAGGGCATGGGCCAGCTGTACAATGTGACGAATATATTCATCGATATGGTACAGAGCAAGCAGGCGTATCCGGAGGGTGAGTGCTCCTTTTGCTCTCGAATCTCTTGTCTTCTGCGAAATCCCGCCGGTGACGCCAATGGTGAAGAGGGACGGCGGGGAACGGTGCGTCATGCATTTTCGCCCTTCTGGGTTACGCCCTGTGATACTAATATCGCTCCACGCGCGCTCGAAAAAAAAGTCGATGTCGCTGTGTTGGTAAACAAGATGGACTGTCAAAGCATCGCGGATCGACACAGGGGTTAACGATAACGGATGTTTCGCCTCGTTCGCGTTTTCAATCGCCGCGATTGGATTTCCGTGTGCTTTCCAACAAGCGACACCCTGCGATCATCTCGTCCTTGTTTAACATCGGTGAACAACAAGGAATATCACGATACACCGTGTCATCTGTGTCGCTTGTTGGAAAACTTCATCCAACGTCATGCCGTTGTTGCGTCGGAGCGATAAATAATTGCAGACTCTGTATGCCACCAATATTGATAGTTATGTTAATAAGATTAAAATATTTCGATAAAATTCTATGGGTGCTGAAAAGACGATGCCAAATATATTTGTTGGTGTTGCAAACAGGAGTTAAAAATTACAGAACAGAAGTGATAAAGAAAGTTTTATATCGAAGAGATGTATCATACTTAATTTCTCATGATTGTCTGGCCCTGAGAGGCTATCAACGAATTGCAAGAGACTGCACTTCGTTAATGAACTCCAATGCAAACCCACCTTTAGAAACGGATGTGTCTGTCGTTCGCGCGAGGTCGACGAATTACGCGAATTATTATGAAGGTCACCAAATAAAAACTGCACGAGATCATCTAAATCAAGCGATTTGTATTTGAAGTATTTAAATTATTAATTTAAATTATTGCCTTCGAGATACATAATACGAGAGAATAGAATCATGATGGGAGGAGAGAATTAAAAATTAATTAACTGAAATAGTCTAAAAAATTTCATGCAATATTGGAGTTATTTAAAAATGTGAAGACGCGACAAACCTAGTTAGCTAATTTTATCTCGGTAGTTCTAGATTGTAGAGTTGCTTTTTTTGGGAAACACAGTCGACACAAGTGTCATTCTATCTTTGTTACTTATTGATTGCCAAGAATAGAACGATGTTTACATCGATTGTGTCATTTGTATCTCAAAAAGAAAGCAACTTTTTTATCGTTCTTGTTATCATCTTATGATATGGGAACATTTTTTATCAGTCAAAATCAGTATTAACCGAAGTTATTGTAATCTATAGAATTCCTGTTTCCTCATTTTAGTTATATCGATTTGCGAGTTGAATTACAAAAATCAAAAAGTTACATGCATTTTTCATTATATTGTGTACTGAGATAAATTTAATTTTTTATATGATAGAGTAAAAATACATTTGATAGAGTAAAAATGTATTAAGAATCCTTTGTTTCATTATTCTATATTTGTCAATCGCGCCGTAATGATTCAGCCGACAAAAGTGTATAAAGAAGTGTGAAAATCACAACGATAACAGTTTATAATGCAAATATATATCTACGTATAATTTTACACTTGTGATTAGTGTATAATTTTATATACTTTTTTCTACACATGTTTTTTTTTTTTTCAAGAAATATGGACTGCATGATTAATCGAAATTTATTAATCCGCGAGCCGAAGGCAAATTTTTGATATCTTATCAATCTTTATCGTCTGTAATAATACAAGTGATAACATGCGAAAAAATGTTACTTTCAACATTCGACATTAGGAAAAAAAGTTGACATGATTTTTTGTTCCTGATGTCATAATTTACTTAATGTGAAGAATATAGCAGGAGTCTTTTAATGATGAACCGAGGGATCGTGATTATGATCTGGTCATAAATGCGACGTATGACAAGCGGAAGATAACGGCATTGTATTTCGTAGAAAGAGCTTATGCTCGTACATTTACAGAAATTTTACAGATCTTGAAATTGCATTTAATGTTGTATTCCTTGAGTATAGAATAAATAGAAGGAAAAAAAGGTTATCATTACATATGATACAACCATCACGTATAACGTCATAAGAAAAATATCATTCGCGCGTTGTTATTTGATTAACAGAAAAGTTTATTGTTTATTTGTTTACATAAATTTTCCAATATGTATATTAAAACGCTTTTATCCATGAATTCGATCATTCTGAGTTGTGTAAATTTATGCAACGTCTCCACACTCTCATCTCTCTCCATAAAATATTTCTTATAAATCGGTTTAGGTCTAGCGATGAGATTATGCGCTTGTCCAATAAAAATCGATATTAGGAGATTCGATGCTTTTTCATTGTATTTCGAATGAATTTACGCAATTATCTGGCCTTTGTTCACCTCTGAAATACACGTCACAATTGTCATGAATGAAGTATTCGCATTTTTTGTGTTTAAGTTGATACACGAAGATTAGTACAGGCATTTTATGCTTGATTTGCTTGGCCAGAATTGTTCGATTGTTATTTTGATATTGAAATTTAAATTTTCGATTAAAATTCGCTTTTTTATTGTCATTATTCAAAATAAAGTAAAATTCTTGAACACGCACACATACACTTAAACATTTAATTTCACCGCATTATGTTGTCAACAATACATAAATGTAGCTTTTATGTTACACATGTCGATTTCATAATAATCACAGTCAAGGTTTTTTGCACTTCGTCGCGAGTTACGCGATAATTATGGCAAAAAATATGAAAGTGTATATTCGACATGGCGTGATCCATTCTCGCTCGTTAACGATTATTGCTCGAAGATTTGTACGCAAAAAAAGAATAATAAAAATGGTCTCATAATATTTAGGGATACACAAACGCTTTTCGCGCGGCCCAGAGAGGTTTATTAAAAAACTCCGATAACTCTCTGCGATCTACGCAGATCATTGACCCTCCCAAGCGCAATAAATAGGAGCGTGCATATCGCGTCTAGCAGGAAGTTGATAGCGAGAGAGTACGTCATCGTCTGTCCAGCAGCGTACGGGAATTCCGATAATCACGCTCGTCATTCATGCGGCTTGAGGCGTCGGGGTGGCTTGGTGCTTGGTTCGTGAACTAGTAGTAATCCGTGAATCGGGACCCGATCTCGTCCACGTTTCACATACGCAGGATTCTTCCTGCATTTAAACAATGCTCCATCTATGATAAAGAACCCCAACTACATCTTAAATTAAGAAACATCATTGCTCCATCGATTACGCGTCTCCCTTCTTAAAAGCAAGTTTGGTTAAATCTATGTAAACTTAAAAGTTCTCGTTGATGATCTGATTTGGTCGTGATGACGATTTTTGTGGTGATGTGATTTGGCTGCATTGCCTCCTCCTTACACTTTGAAAATAGGAATCAATAAATAGTAAGATAAAGATGCAACAGGCCTTTTGGTGGGACAAAAGTACTTTTGTACGCGTCAATTACTCTTGAAAATTTGAATATCAATTTTTGAAATGATAATAAATATAATAAGTGAGTACAAGGTATATAAATATAATAAGTGAGTTGAAATCAAATTCAGTGAAATCAAAATTTAATAATTAAAATAATGATTTCTGATTATAGTTTCAGAGTTTCTAATAGTTTTAAGAAATAGTTCTGACCGTTTTAAAGACCATCATAGAAATGCAATTCAAACATATGGGGGTTAACTTCACGCAGTCCCATTTTCGAAAAATGATATCTTTCGAAAATGGGGAAAGTTAGCCTCCTACACACATGTGTGAATCGCATTTTTATGCTTTTAAAATGGTTAGAACTATTTCTTAAAAGTATTAGAAACTCTGAAACTATCAGAAATCTATGCATAATTCTAAAGAAAAATTACATTTTTTAAATAATAGGGGCTAGTTTGACAGGGGTTTTAACGCAAAAATTATGCGATAATGAAATTGGATTTCGATAGTTGCAACGCTTTTGTCCGCCTCGCTTAGTGGCCTACAACGCATTGCGGCGACGGTCAGGTCGTTTCTTTAGGATGACGTTGCTTTTTCTTGAAGTTTGTACGTAGTTTGCAGTCAACTAACGGCATCTTTAACAGTACGGATTATTGCTAAATCCCATCTGACGCTTCTCTTATTGCTTCATTACGCTCGACTATCGACGGGAAGCGGAACTGACGATATTATCAAGTTAGGAAGTTGCATACAACGATAATTCAATGTCGCGTTTAATTTTTATAATTGCCACTATTGCGAATTATCGTAACCATCATTAATATTTTAATTAAGAATATTGTGTCATAATATTGTATATATTATTAATCTTAGTATTTTGAAAGAAGATATCTTAATTTTATAGAATTTTTAATTATCTCTTATTCTGAATACTAATGTTAAGATATCAATGTCTGTTATATAGATATTAATGTATTCATTGAATATTCTATGTAGTTTCACAGCTTTAGAATAGCATACCTCTTTATATCCTTAGCCTCTGATTATATATTAAGTTTGTTAACGAAGTAACGATCGATAATCTTTTGTTTCTTTAACAGAATCAGATGTACGATACTTCATTAGTGTGATTAAAGGAAATCGATTTTTTTACAATGATTTATATGATGGCATGTGCAAATGCAAAGATCCTATAATAAAATTTTTGTAAATAATATTGATTGAATAACGATAGAACTGAAAATCTGGCGTTTAAAGTTATATATCACTTAATTAAGGATACGTTATAAAATCGTTGATAAAATTGATTTTATTAGTTTGATAACGTAATTTAGCCAAGAGATGAAATGATGAGTTTTCCTGTATTTGTTTTTGACGTACAGTTTAATGATCGATAAAATAAATATGTAATTGTTAGAGACTTGCAATTGTGAAGTTGTTCTAATTTTCAAATATATTTTTAATATACTGTACTTTATATATTAAACATTTTATTCGATTCTTAACATTGCAAATATTTATATTTATATTATTTGTTGAAAACAGACATACAATGAAAAAGTACATACAATCGAGTCTCCCACAAGAAAAAGAAAGATAGTTTAATATAAAATCCAGAATTTTGTTATTAA